GCGTGTTCCGCGGCTTTGCTCCCCGTCTCCCTGGTCTGCTGGAGACCAGGGAGACGGGCCCCGTTTGTAACTGCGGATCCGACATAAGTCGGATCTGCGTAACTGGGGGACTGCCTGTATTACAATGAGCTTCCTGTTTATAAGGAAACTTTGTAAATTTCATATTCGGGGTGGGACATAACTGTATGGGGTTTACAAACCATTGTGCACACACAAAGCTCCCCGTCTCCCTGGTCTGCTGGAGACCAGGGAGACGGGCCCCGTTTGTAACTGCGGATCCGACATAAGTCGGATCTGCGTAACTGGGGGACTGCCTGTATTACAATGAGCTTCCTGTTTATAAGGAAACTTTGTAAATTTCATATTCGGGGTGGGACATAACTGTATGGGGTTTACAAACCATTGTGCACACACAAAGGCTCCCTATCCTCAGTGTGGGTTGCTTTGCTACACTGGCGCTAAATCTACTAGTAGCAACAAAAGCAAATTTTGCAGAAGTCTTGGAAAGTTCAGTGGTAGTTTTCCTGCCAGAATATTCCATCCAACAAAAAGCACGTAACAGCTCTCCTAGAGTTGATAAGAACATAAGAATGGCCGTACTGGGTCAGACCAAAGGTCCATCTAGCCCAGCAGCCTGTCTGCCAACAGTGGCCGGCGCCAGGTGCCCCGGATGGGGAGGACCGAAGACAATGATCAAGCGATTTGTCTTCTGCCATCCATCTCCAGTCTCTGGCAAACAAAGGCCTGGGGACCATTCCTACCCCCTGGCTAATAGCCTTTTATGGACCTAACCTCCACGAATTTATCTAGCTTCTCTTTAAACTCTGTTATAGTTCTAGCCTTCACAGCCTTCTCGGGCAAGGAGTTCCACAGGTTGACTATGCGGTATGTGAAGAAGAACTTTCGTTTATTAGTTTTAAACCTGCTACCCATTAATTTCATTTTGTGTCCTCTAGTCCTTATGTTATGGGAACTTATGAATAACTTTTCTTTATTCACCCTCTCCACACCACTCATGATTTTATATACCTCTATCATATCCCCCCCTTAGCCTCCTCTTTTCCAAACTGAGAAGTCCCTGTTGCTTTAGCCTCTCTTCATATGGGACCTGTTTCAAACCCCTAATCATTTTAGTTGCCCTTTTCTGAACCCTTTCCAAGGCCAAAATATCTTTTTTGAGGTGAGGAGACCACATCTGTACACAGTACTCAAGAGGTGGGCGTACCATAGTTTTATACAGGGGCAGTAAGCTATTCTGTGTCTTATTTTCTATCCCTTTCTTAATAATTCCTAACATTCTATTTGCCTTTTTGATCACCCCAGCACGCTGTGTGGACATTTTCGTGATCAAGAAGCACTTCTCAGTAACCTATGCCATACTATTTATTTTTTCTTAAATCCAGACTCCTGAGTGTGTTCAGAGTATTCTCTATTGTCCAGATCTGTTATTTACTCCATAAGTCTGCAAGAGGCTGCCTGTTGGCAGCTGCTGTATTTAAGATCACTTACTGGGTGTGGGTAAGTACATGCTGCTTGAGGTCCTGCCTCCGCATGAACAGCCTGTCACAGTAATCGCACTTCAGGTTCTTCTCTCCAGTGTGGATGACCATATGCGATTCCAGGTGAGCCTTTTGAGTGAAGGACTTTTCGCAGAGGACACAGCGATAATTTTTCTGACCTGGAATTGCACACACAAACAGTGACAATAAGTCTGAAAAAAAAACCATCCACTACAGAAAAATCTTTCCCTGAAACAAGATTAAGAATTCATCCTTTTACTCCTGCAGCTCTGTTTCTAACTCAGAATGATAACCTATTAAGTCTGGGCTAGCTGTGTAAGAAATCACCATTTGGCACTCGGGCTCAATTCAGTCGCTCCAAAGCTGGGAACCTTATAAAGGGGCAGGCCCTAGATGCTGAGTGAGTTCAGCCAAAAGGTCTTTATTGTAGATCAAATACATCTAATGAATAATCACATATTTTAAGCACTAGTGATGTCCTTCGGTAGTAAGCACTTGACCTTAAGAGTGGTATTTCAAGCATAAGAATTGGAACACAGAAATCTCAAACACTGCCTCTTAGTCCTATTTCTGGTTTGGCCAGTGGCCTTTGGGTGACCTTGGGCAAGTCCACCAATGGCTGCTAGCTGATGGCCAGAGGCTGGGACCAGATAACGGCAGATGGATTACTTGATAATTGCCCTTTTTTCATAGCTAAGGCTACGATTTAGTTTCAGAGATCACAGAATCCATGTTGAGAGCTGCAGGGTTGTCTGCCACTCATGGGGGACAGGAGCGACTGGATACCCCTACCACCTCTATTGGCCTCTGGAGCTCCAAACTGCCACAGATGGCAGGAGTGCCCTGCAGCCCCCAGATGTTAGCCAGGGACTGTGGGGGGCATTGGACCTCCAACCCATAGTTGGAGCCCAGAGCTCCTAGCTGCTGCACAGCTCCCCACTACAGATGGTGTGGGGGCCCATAGATATTTTTAACAAGGCTTCCATGCATTTTTCTTTATTGCCTATGATCTGCCTGTGCCTTTTACTAAAAATATCCATGACAAAAATCTTAGCCTTATTCTTAACATCTGTAATTGGCAATGATCAAGACACAGGATATTGGGCTATAGACCACTCGTCTACCCCACGTGGCCATTCTTATTTTCTCACATCTCTTCACTGCTCTGTTCTGCTGTTTCCCCATCTATAAAATGAGGATAATAATGCTTACTTCATAACCTCTGCAATAATACTGATGTTCAAGCACTAACAATTAAGAATTATTACCACCACCAGGTACCCATTTAACTAAGAAGTCTGAAAAAATATTTATCTTTAAGATTCAAATCTAAAGCCAAAAACTTCAAACCAATATGTAACTGGTGAAATCCACAGGCTCTGACCCCTTATTTAACCTCTGAGCAATGAAGAATCTGGATAAAGGCTTGGTTATGGACTAGGGATGTAAGTGACTACTCACATTTTCCCCCCTCCCTTGCTGCCTCTATATCAGAGACAGCAAGGGGGGGCAGCCAGTTCCCCCAGCCACCATCTCTGCAGTGCCATCTGCCCCATCCCTGGCCCACCGAGAGTGTGTGGGGGGTGCGGCAGCAGAGGAGGCTGCCATGAAGCAGCCTCTGCCTGTGGCCAGCCCCAGCTGCCACTGATAGGGGCTGCTTCACAGCAGCAGCCCCTGTCCATGGGAAGGGTCCCAGCGGGCTGCTGGACCTGGTACAAGCTGGGGCTGAGCAAGCCTGGCTTGTGCCAGGTGTGGGAACTACCCCGCTGCGGCTATGCAATGCAATGCAGAGCTGCAGCAGGAGTAGGCCCCGGACCCAGCGGCTATGCATTTTAAAGAGCTGGCCCAACTCTTTACTACATTTAAAATGCAGAGCTGCAGCGGGGGTAGATCCCAGACCCAGCATGAGCTGGGATAGAGCTCCTTCCCTTATCAACGGAGCATGTAGTTGGTACAAACTGTATAGACTACATGATTAGACAATTACCCACCTCTTAACATCCTTATTACATACCCCAGTGTAATTAATTCCTTTGTCATTTGTTTAAAGCTGGCAGAATTGGATTAGTGATTACCACCTGACAATTGTTCAGTTGTTTATGTGGAAATGAGCTGGTGGTTAGTCCAGTTCCTAATGGTTAAGCATCCACATCCTGAAACTCCCAACACAACTGGCACACTCATATCAGCAGTCTCAGCACGTAAGATCAAAAACTGAGTAGCCCTCGGATACTGTTACTCTCTCACTCCAGAGGCAGTCCCCAGGTACCAAGGTGCTGGAGGTATTACAAGTATCTGGAGAGATACACAGTCCTTCCAAGTCAAGGCTGAAGCATGTACAAATAGCACCAGGGGTAAGTTTGCATTGCTGCAGTATGTATTGGGCCTATTTTGTGTTTAAACAAAGAATTTCAGTCTCCTGGGCTGAGAATCTGCCACCTTTGCCAGCTGTTAAAGTTTACTTCACTTCATCAAACAGTCTTTTTGAAATGGCATCTTAAAGCATGCATCAGGCCCTCTGCCTTACCTGTGTGTATCTTGAGGTGAGTCCGAAGGTTGCTGGGATCGCTGAAAGCTTTGCTGCAGAAATCGCACTTGTGTGGCTTCATGCCCATGTGTCCCATGAAATGAACATGAAGTTTGGAAGGTGAAATGAAAGCTTGAGGGCACATGGAGCACTTCCACTTCCTTTCCTTACTGTGGCCTGGTCCATGGCTGCTGCTATGCCCCTGGCTGGAGAGATGGTTATGGATGTGGCTGCTCAGATGGGCTTTGAATTCTGTGTAGGAAGTGCATTCCTTTCCACAATGACACACATGCACATCTGGGTGTTCAGGGACACCTATGACCCAAAAGCATTTCTTTTAATTAAACATGTCATTCCTTCACACACAAAACATTTGCTGGTCCACTTCATAACATGGCTGCACATTGGCCCTGATTTCTCTGGTATTACATATAAGCAAGTGAAATGGACTCTCTACAGTTTATTAAAACGTTTTGTATGCATGTTTTGAAGGACATAACAGACTGCAGTAGATTATGGTTGGAGCCCTACCAAATTCACTGTAAGGATTTTAAAATTGATCGATTTCATGATTTCAAGTGTTCATATCTGAAATTCATGGTGGTGTAACCATGGAGGGTCCTGACCCAAAATGAGATAATGGGGCCCAAGGAGATTTCAAGTAGTTATAGAGGGGTCTGAAGATTGCCAGCTTCACTTCTGTGCTGCCTTCAGGCCTAGGCTGTGAAGGCAGCACCCTCCCTGCTTCCTGCAGTTAGAGGAGGTTCCCAGAGGTGGCGACAGGTAGGATCTCCCTCATTCTGCTGGGAGCACCTCAGCTGGGGCTCCTAGCTGTTAGTCCAGGACAGGGACAGAGTAAGGCAGAGGCCCTTGCCAATTTGGGTCCCTTCTGGGTCACCCCAAGCCCTGGCAGGAGCTGCAGAAGAAGCCCTATGCCCTGGCAGGGAGGGGGAAGTAGAAGACCCATGTCTGGGCTGCCACAGCTGGTGGAGTGAAAGCCCTGAGCCTGGGCTTCCCCAAGGCCTGACTGGAATTGGGAGAGTTGCCTCAATACAGATTAAATACACCCAGGAAAGGAATTTAGATTATGGTCCATCATCTGAATTATGGGCAGGAGCAGCATCCTCCAACCTTAAGTCCAATGAATGAGAAAGTCATTTTACATTCTCTCCTCTTTTGAGTCTGGTTCCTCCTGATAGAAAACTAAAAGTGGATCCAGAGTTCCCTTCTTGTTGATCAGTGTTGGCATCTATAAAGCTTTCAACTAGGCCAGACAGGTGAAGGGAAGCTTGCATTGCATTTCATACTGTACGGTAGTTTGGCTCAGGGCCTGGCCCCTAATGCTTCTGCAAGTATAAAGTTCACCATCATTTGTTCTGTGGAAATTCACCACTCAAAATCTAGAGAATCTTATACATCCTGTTATTGTCATCCATAACTTGGGAGTGGCAGAGAAACAGCACGCTGTCCCATGGTAATATTAAATCTTTTCATTCTGATCAGAGAGAAATTAAAGGACCACCATAGCAATAGTGAATAACCCAATGTTATTTACTTATAGTGAATTCGAATTTAATGAGATTACAATGCCATTCACTACCAAAAGTCCTCTAGCACCTCATGGGCAAAACCCACTTCCTCAAATAAGCCTCTGCTCATCTGAGGAAGTGGGTTTTGCCCATGAAAGCTCATGATACTATATATATTTTTGTTTGTTAGTCTTTAAGGTGCAACTCATTTTTAAAGTTAGAGGCTAACATGGCTACCCCTCTGAGACTCGCAACCATGTGTGACAAACAAAGAAATCCCAGCTCACAGTACCCAGAGGCAGCATATAAAAAGGAGCTCAAGTTCAACTTTGTAAAAGTAAATAACGTGCCTGTCTTCTTACCAATCTGTCGAGCATAATCCCGACTATAATAAAATAGAAGCTCTTGTTCAGGAGGGATGTCCTGAGAAGTACAGAAATACATTTTTCCATCGTGGGGATAAGCTACCAGATTCTGCTCTTCTCGGTTCCTATACCAACAAAGAAGAGTTTAAACACCTTTCAAAATTCATTTCAGAATCAGTTCTTCTCAAATGACATTCTATCACTTTGCTCATTTTTTATCGCAAGGGATGATGATATGAAACTTATTCCTATTGCTTTTTCCAATATAAAGTCATCAAACATTTGTGACATCACAACAGCTGCTGTGGAAATAACTGGTACCAGGGACAGCCAACGGGGAAATGAGCAAGATGACCCTCTAAGACTGTGGTCACCAACCCATCAATCGCGATCGACTGGTCAATCGGGAGGGCTCGACCAGTCGATTGCAAGGCATTCAGGGGCCCCCCAATTTCCCCCACCCCCAAGAAGCCCCACTACCTACCTCCGAAAATGGAGGTAGTGCCGGCTTCCCGCGGGGTGGAGGGAAGTCCGACAGCTGTGCACCACGTCGGGGGTTTCCAGACGTGCGCTACCTGCTCCCCTCCTTCAGGTCTGTGGCGTGCCGGGAGGAGGTAGGAGTCCCAGAGGAAGGCGCATGCTGTGGCTTGGGGGGGAGAGGGGAGGCGCGCACTGGGGCTCCCCTCCTCTGTTGGGAAGGAGGTAGGAGTCCCAAGGGCAAGCGCACGCCGGGGAGGAGGGGAAAGCACATGCACCGGGGCTCCCCTCCTCTGCGGGGGAGGAGACAGGAGTCCCGAGGGCATGCATGTGCCGGGGAGGGGGGGGAGGAGTCCCAGGGGGAAATGTGCACCGGGGCTTTCCTCCTTTGCAGGGGAGGAGGCTCTTGCCAGAGCTTCCCTCCTCTGGGGGGAGGGGGGAAAAGAGGGGGGAGAAAGGCGCGTGCCAAGGATTCCCTGCTCCAGCCAACACCCTGCCCCCTGTTCCCACTGGCACTCTGTCCTTTTCCTCCACTGACACCCTGTCCTCTGCCCCAGGCTCTTGCCCCAGAACCCACTGGCCCTCTGGCCCTTGCCCCAGCCCCCATTGGCACCCTGCCCCCAGCACTCTGTCCCCTGCCCTGGCACCCAGTCTTCTGCCCCAGCACCTACAAGCACCCCGTCCCTTGTCCCCTGGAGCATTGGCACCCTACCCAGCACCCTGTCCCGGTACCCCCTGGCACCCTTCCCCAATACCATGTCCCTTGGGGCCACATTAGTGAGGCTTGTGGGTGTTTTGGAGTTTTTATTTTGCATCTCACTTGTGTGGCCCCAACTGACTTTTTCTGTGGGTTAGTGATCCCTGACTCAAAACAGATTCCCTGCTCTTCTCATAAATAAAGACAATGCAGAAACTTTTTGGCTTCAGCTACATTGGCAAGATTTTGCGTAAATACTTTTAGCGCAAGAGTTTTTGCGTTAAAGTATTTGCGCAAGAGCGCGTCTACACTGGCATGTGCTTTTGTGCAAGCACCCCCACCCCCCCACACCCAAAAGCCTATGGCTTGCTTAGTACCCTAACCCTATATCTGACCCCAACACTGGCTCGCCAGAAACCCCCTCCCTGACCCAGCATCCCCTTTCTCCACCTCCTCCTGCATCCAGATTTCTTCCCAGAGCTTTCATCTCTCATCCCTTCTCACACCCAAATCCCTCATTCCCACCCCAGAGTCTACACACCCTGCTTCAACCCAGCGAGGATAAGGCTTGACTGCAGGAGTTTTTCAGGATTCCGGAGATATCCCAGAAAAACTCTTCTACATCCAAGGATGCATTTGTTCTTCCGCTTTTTTTAGTGGAAGAGCAAATGTGCTCTTTTGGTAACCCCTATATTCCTCTTTCCACAAGGAATAAGGAGGGGCTTCCAAAAGAAGAGGTTGACATTTGGTCCAGTCTAGACAGGCCAAATGTTGGAAAAACCTCTTACTACAGAAGAATTGTGAAAAAAAAGCAGCAGTATAAGGGTTGGGGATAGCAAGCGATGGAGAGGAGGAGAATAGAGAGGAAGGGGTGGGGCTTCAAGGAAGGGATGGGGCGGTAGATGATCTTGGCTTATTCTGTCATTTCAAAAGTGATCTTGGTCATAAAAAGGTAGGAAACCACTGCTCTAAGAGAACAAAGATCCATTTTCATTCTGATGTCCACAATAAAAAAAAAAAGACTAGGAAAGAAAATATAAAAGGAGTCGTATAAGCAGAATTAGCTCCATTTAAACCAGTTGGCAACATTTTCCAGGAGGCAATAGTGTCCTGGTGGCCTAGCAGATCAATGGTAAAACATGCAGCACACTGCTCCACTTTGCTAAACCCAAAACCAGAAGCAACTTCTTGATTCCTGCTCACTAGCCTGATGAAATGAGTTATAGAGGCGATCTCTTTTGTCTCATGGAGTAATAGGGAAACAGAATATCCTTCCCACTAGCCCACTCATGGGACACTATTAACATCAGTTTGCACAGCTCTCTTTGCAGGCTCCCAGCGCAGCTCAGTACCAGTAGGAGTTAGGAGAAAGGCAATGAAACCCACAAAAATATGGTCTCGGCGCCCACTGCAGTACCTGGGAGCCATCTTATCAGTAATGATATAAAGCAAAAAGGCAAATAAATTCCATCTTAACAGATATATTTTTAAAGGAGTATTGAAGAGAAGAGACAACAATAGATCTTTTGGCTTAAAGCTTAAAAGGACAAATGGCTACATTCAATTCACAGATTTCAAGTGATGCTTTACAATATAATTAGTCCCTGTCCCCATACCAGCCTCTTGCTTGCCACTTTTTTAATTTCTCCTAGCGATAATCCCAGCTCCCTAGAAATCACTCAAAGGACCACTCGGCACCACTCAGTCACTGCCGTGGATTGCCCATTCACTCACTCTCCCTACGTCAGGGGCAGATTTCAGAGTCACATGGAGTAAAGGGCACTGGCTGTTTGCACCAACCCTGCCTCTCCCTCAGTCTTATCACCTCAGCTTCACTCCACCCCTGCCCTTCATCCCTCACCTTCCCTTTTCCTTCCATTTAGTTTATCCTCTTGTAAATAACGCCTTCCAAATTAAAGGATCTAACATGACATTTGCCACCAACACATTCACTCTATTTGTGTTCTATCCCCACCCACCTTACCATGGATCATTAGCTCTTTGGGACAGAGGCTGGTTTTTTTGTTCTATGTTTTTACAGCGCCTAGCACAAGGGCATCCTGGACCATGACTGGAACTCCTATGCGCTACAGTAGTATAAATAATACTTTTTTTAAAGGACAACATCACAAGGTTCAAATCTGCTCAATATGGGTACACGCTGCTCTCACCGGGCTCTGCGTACAAACATCATCCAGTTACACTGGTTTTCATCAGCTGTAATGATATAGAACTCTAGGACGCCATTGTGGTACATCTGACAGAAAAAGATAAAACAAGCAGTGTTAGATAAGATAGGGCAATGACTTTGATCAGAGGTCATCACTTTCTTTAGGAGAGGAATTGCTTACCCAGATTGAGCTAGGAGCTCTTTCCAGCAAGACACTTCCCACACAACTACCATCTGACTTAACTGTGCCTTACCCCTGTTGCCCCCAATGGTGAACCAAGCCAGAAAAATACAGGGGCGCCTAAACTACATGAGGTGATTTAATGTCATTTCTTTTCTGAGCTTGTCTTCAAACTCAGAACCAATGTACCTTGCACAGAAGTCCCTTGAGCCTTCTATTACCAAGGCCATGCAACAAGCACACATACTTGGTTAGACAGACAAGAGTCATACATCACTGGAACCTCATATTCCTAATGGGAGCCATGACCACAATAGCACTAATCCCTACCCCCTGCCTCCCTCCCACTAGGGATGTAAAATCAGGTTTAAATTAGTTAACTGATTAAACAGGGTAGGCCAATGATTTGTTGGCCTGAGTTAACAGTCTTCAAGAGTGTTACCTTTGCATAGGCACCCTGGTAGTACTAATGCCTCCTGGCATCAAGCTGTGGAAAAGTTTTACAATAGTGTTGATTGGGGCCATTCATCCTCCCTCCCCATCATGAAGAGATCCAATGATAGAGATGTAGGAGTGGTTTCATCCAACCCTCAGCTGCTTCCCCTGAGAGGGTGGATGGAGAGTGAATATGCAGAACTGACATTCTTGAAGAACAACTGCTAATAAGTAACACCTCTCTTCTCTGAGTGGTCTCTGCACATTATGGCATGTGGAGATCATCAATCAGTACAAATATTCTAGAAAGGCATACTGAGGAGTTCTAGGTGAACAACAAGGCATAGAAAATCGGTAAAACTACATGACAGACGTGAGAAATTACAATTTGTCACTCTTACAGATCGGTGAGAATTTTTTTACTTCAAGCATCTACAAAGTTTTGAGTAACTTTGCAAATTCTATTAAAAAAATAAGACATGCATGTATTTAGTTGAATATGTCTGAAGTTATCATATGAATGAATATGTGCTAGTTGTAACTAGGGAGAGACTTGGGGAAATACAGACAAGCTAGCATCCAGTATGAGATGACAATAGAAATGACTAGACTGGAAACTAGGCTAAGGACATAGATAAAAACATGGTTCTCATATGGACTACGGTTTATAGGCTATTTGATCTGTACCTCACTAAGTCTGAGGGATGCAGCAATGGCTATGAATAATTCTGTTTTCACAGGTGCACTGTACAAATGATACTCTAACCAATAACAAACCAAAGGTTCCTAGGGCTTTCCAACTCCAAAGGTAAAAGAGATATGGACTGGAAGAAACATTCCTCAGGTCAGTACAGGTATGTTTACACAGCAGGTAAACACACAGTGCTGGCCTATGCCAGTTGGCTCAGGCTGTGGGCCACTTAATCGGGCTCAAACTGGAGCCTAGGTTCTAGGATGCTTGAAATGAGGAGGAGTGTAGAAAAATGAATAAGGAAGTTTTATTTACTTCTTTTCATAACACAAGAATTAGGCATCACCACAAATGAAATTAATAGGTAGCAGGTTTAAAATAAACAAAAGGAAGTATATCTTCACACAACACAGTCAACCCGTGGAACTCCTTTCCCGAGGATGTTGTGAATGCCAAGACTATAAGAGGGTTTAAAAAAGAACTAGATAAATTAATGGAGGATAGGCCCATTCAATGGCTATTAGCCAGAATGGACAAGGATGATATCCCTAGCCTCTGCTGGCCAGAAGTTGATAGTAACAAAGGATGGACCACTTGATGACTACCTATTCTGTTCATTCTCTCTGGGGCATCTGGCACTGGACACTGTTAGAAGACAGGAAACTGGGCTACATGGGCCTTTGGTGTGACTCAGTATGATGGTTCTTATGTAAATCTATACTGCTTTGCAGCTGGCTCAGGCCAGCAGGGAGTTTTTATTTGCAGTGTAAATACACCCTCAATTAAAACATCCCACAACTGCACTGATAAAAAGAAATCCAGTTTCTTCAGTGCAACCATCAAAACAAAGCAGTTACTTCAAGCAATATTAGTAGTACATGGAGCAACCCTTCCAGAAATGTCGTTATTATGAGGTAAGTGAAGACTGCTGCTCAGTGCATGCAAGAATGGAACTTGAAATCTCACCCTACACAAAACTAAACCACGGTTTCTAAATATTAAAAAAAAAAAGTATAATAGCATTAAAAGTGAGGGGGTTATTTCAACTAACGCTTCTGCTTTTTGACTGGGTTGCTAGACTTCTGAAAAATGTCCTGATCAAGCATCTTAGCATTCCAGAAGTCAGGAGTCAATGTGAGAGGTTCCAGGCTCAAGTGGATACTCTTACCCCAACCTGCAGACTAATAGTCAATAAACTAGAAAGTGTTGCTAACATTTGACTTAGGATGTCTGAAGAGAAAAGCATAAAGACCACCTTAAAGCCATCAACACCATCTTGGCTCCATCTTGAGCGACCTGAAGACAGATCTTCTAGAAAAAAAAAATCATACGAAATATGTAGAGGAATACCAGATTCCAGTCCCAAGAAATAGGAGTTTGCCAAAGATATTGGATCTTATCTGATCCTGAAGCAGAACTGGAGAAACGATGGCTGTACTCTTTTTTAATAAAGAGATCTAGTTGTGATTTAATCCCCTTATATCAGGGTTATTCGGCCAGCGGCCCGTTTGTTTGTGACCCGTGGTGCAGTTTGGGCTTATGCAGGGCTCAACACGCAGCCCGAGGGTGGGATCCTTTGAACATGGCCTCCACTGGGAACACGCTCCACAATGGCAAGTCAATATAACAGTCTTCTGTTGATATGCGTTTTAGTAGTTAAATTCCTGGACTGTCATTGCTCATTAAAAGTGCTATCGTATAGGTGGAAACCGGTAAATATTGTATTTTATTAATATCAACAGAACTGACTTAAATGGGGCCTGTGTGTTGTATAGTCTTGCCTTAATCTTTGTATTCATTCCCGTCAGCGTGAAAGAAGATATTTGCATATATATATTTGCATGTATATGCAAACACACTTAAGTCGTGGCCCTAGGCATGTGCTGTGAGTATCATTGTAGCCCCAGAGTTGAGTAGCCCTTCCAAAGTTGAGTAGCCCTGCCTTGTATAATACACAATGCCAGACTGATACCTACCTGAAATATTTAGGGATTTTAAACACACACACAAAAAGACACCTCAATTCAAATAATCTACCTAGATAAAGGGAAAGAACTTCAATAAATTGTTTTCAACTCCAGTACTGTGATTTGGAGCTTTCACCATCTACAGAGTCCACAAACTTAGAAAAGTCTGGAGAAGAAGAACATTCTAAGTCCATCAACGTTAAGGAAGCTGAAAAGGGAATGATCTGAAAAGCATCTGGTACCTTTTATTTTTTGCACCTTGAATGACCTGAGGTGCGAATACAGTCAAGAAAGAATGGTGCCTTTGTAATCAATCAGTTTTATGGCAGTCACAAATATAAGTCTGGATAAAAATATCACCAGATACATGGTAAGCAGCCTATCTGTTTTTCAGAATCTAGATATAGACATGAATGCACCAATGATGTCTAAGACATGTCAGGAAACCGTTCACAGGTCCCCTTTTCTGTCTCTTTTTAAAAAATGTGCTGCTTAAATGAAAGCATCCCATGGATTGAAGTGAGTTGAAGTGGAATAATTAGCTAGAGTTTCTCTCCCAAGGAAAGGGAATATAATGCCAATGTCACCTTCTTGGTAGCAACTGCCATATGCTGATTTCCAAGGAATAGATGACATATCAACATGTCAGCTGAGAATCCCAATTTTATAAATTAAGCACTTTCCACCTGTGCACTCAGACTGAAGGTAAACTTAAAACAATATGAAAATACTTTCAAAGGACCTGTACCTGACACAGATTGCCTGCTACACACATAGGATGAAAATGCAAGGTCTTCCTGGCAATGCAGCAAAATAGATGCCAAGGCTAGAACATCAAAGATATGGCACCAGATGGCTCAATCTAATCAGAACTGAGACTTTAGGTGCATGGTCCTGGAGTGGCCGCCACACTTTTTTTCTTTAAATAATAAAGCATTTCTCCTGGGAACCTCAAGGCTGTCAAAGCGTAGTTGACTGAACAGAAGGAGGAGAGGAATTCAGAACCAATAATCCAACATCAGCAGATGACAGGGGTGTGTGGACTCCAGGAAAGCTTTTTATGGCCTCTCTTCAGAACAATGCATTGATACTGGTGTTTTGAACTTAGGTGTCTTTGGGTACCAATAGCTATGGATGGTTTCAAAGTCAGAGCATCAGCACTGGATTAGAGTGGGTTACTCACCCTCTGCGGTAACTGAGGTTCTTTGAGATGGGTGTTCCTGTGGGTGCTCCATCTTAGGAGTTTGGGCACCGCAACATGCCTGGCCAGAAGATTTCAATAGCAGTACTAGTGACAGGTAGTTTGCGCATGCGAAGCACACTTCACTTGCCAGGCAGTTAATGCACATGCGCGGGCTACAATCCCTTCAGTTCCTTCTCTGCCCCGGTAGCGATGCGTGATGATGCACTGACAGAGGGGAGGAGAGGTGGGTGGTGGAGCACCCACAAGGACACCCATCTCAAAGAACCTCAGTTAAGTCAGAGGGTGAGTAACCCTCTTCTTCTTTGAGGAGTGTCCCTGAGGGTGCTCCACTTTAGGTGATTATGAATCAGTGCGTCCGCTGGAGGAGGAGCTTATGGGCAGCCGTGACACAGAGTGACTGAACAGGGTTTCCCCTAGAGAGAGAGATGTTGAGGGCATAATGGGTCGCAAAAGTATAAGCGGGTGACTAAGTAGCTGATTTACAGATATCTAACAGGGGAATGCCCTGGATATATGCAGTTGATGCAGCCATGGCTCTGGTTGAGTGCGCACAAAGTTGTGCAGGTGGTTCTTTGCTGAAGGCTGCTTATGCCACTCTTATGCACTCCA